AGTAGCTAGGATTACAGGTGTGAGCTATCATTGCCTGGTGCCATGTATTCTTTTTGTGTGTGTCTGGCTTCTGCTCTTGGAGGGCAGGTCCTCTTTAAGTCCAGATAATGTGACTTTAATGAAGATGATAGGGGTGGGAGGGGGGAGGAGAGGGGGAGGATGGGAAGGAATGGGAAGGGGAAACAAAGGAGGAGGCTACAATGCTTGATAAGAAATGTCCTCATTATCTTGCCCATGTAATTGTAACCCCTCTGTACAGTATTTTCACAATAAAAAATTAAAAAAATTAAAAAATGAAGATGATAACCATTTTGTCGAGCACTAAGTATGTGCTTGGTAGAATGCTGACATATTTTCCATAGGTTATCTGAATCATCTTAGATATTATTACCTTCTTTATATAAGTGAGGAAAATGAAATCTTCTCAAACTTAGGTACCTTGTTCTAAGGTTCTCTCTAGCAGAGATGGAGATCATCTGGCCCTTGGGCCTTTGTACATGATAGGACAGACACATATTCTGTGTGTGTGTGTGTGTGTGTGTGTGTGTGTGTTCTGGTCCTGGGGCTTGAATTAAGGGCCTGGGTACTATCACTGAGCTTTTGTGCTCAAGGCTAATGTTCTAGCACTTGAACTACAGTGTTACTTTTGATTTTAGCGGTTAATTGGAGATGAGAGTCTCACAGATTTTCCTGTCCAGGCTGGCTTTGAACCGTGATCTTTGGATATCCGCCTCTTGAGCAGCTAGGATTATAGATGTGAGCCATCAGTGCCTGGCAATGAGTACATTTCTTTTTTCTTTTTTTTTTTTGGGTCCAGTCGTGGGGCCTGAACTCTGAGCCTAGGCGCTGTCCCTCAGCTCTTCAGCTCAAGGCTAGCGCTCTACCACTTGAGCCACAGTGCCACTTCGGGCTTTTTTATTCTTTTTGCTTATGTGGTGCTGAGGAATCGAACCCAGGGCCTCATGCATGCAAGGCAAGCGCTCTACCACTGAGCCACCTTCCCAGCCCCTGAGTACATTTCTTTCTGGACAATGTTCCCCCTTCCCTTGCTCTCTGCCAGGTTTTCCCTCCCACCCCCACCCACAAGTTGTATAGTTCATTTTCAACAAGCATCTAGTGAGTCCCACTGCTGTATTTGTTTACCCTGTGTCCCTCCATTTCTGTGCTCCCCTTGCCCCCCCAAAAGACAGCTAAATGATCAAACAATACAAAAAGAGACAAAGGGTTTTTAATTTAACATGTCCGTTTATGAGTTCGCTCATCTTGATACATGTCGACCTTTCATCATTCTCCTATCGTTCCCCTATCCCTTCAAGTTCCCTAGTTACATTTTCACAAATATATCTAATATTGTGACTGTATTGGCCCATCGTTCCTCTCTCCATTCACGGACTACCCCTTCCTTTGACCTCACCCTCTTTACCCTCAACCAGGATACCAAGATACAAGTGCCTGCTTCCTCATATTCATTTTGTTAAACTGTTAGTTGTCCAAAGGAGTCACACCACTGGAATTCTGTGCTGCAAATCCTGTACTTTAGTGAATACATTCATGTTTATATGCATACGAACCTATATGTTCACTTATTTATTTATTCTTTCATTTATTTATTTTTTCATTTTATGTTGATCCTAGGGCTTGAACTCAGGGCCTGAACAACTGTCCTTAAGCTTTTTTTTTTTGCTCAAGGCTAATGCTTTGCCATGGAGCCACAGTTTTTTTTTTTTTTTTGTCGGTTGTGGGGCTTGAACTCTGGATCTGGGTGCTGTCCCTGTGCTCTTCAGCTCAAGGCGAGTGCTCTACCGCTTGAGCCACAGCGCCACTTCAAGTTTTCTAGTGGTTAATTGGAGATAAGAGTCTCATGGACTTTCCTGCCTGGGCTGACTTTGAACCATGATCCTCAGATCTCAGCCTCCTGAGTAGCTAGATTACAGGCATGAGCTACTGGCGCCTGGCTGGAACCACAGTTTTTTGGGTGGTTAAATAGAACTAAGAATCTCGTGGAAGCTGGGTGCTGGTGACACACACCTGTAATCCTAGCTACCCTGCAGGCTGAGATCTGAAGATCATGGTTTGAAGCCAGCCTGGCCAAGAAAGTCCATGTAACTCTTATCCATTTAACTACAGAAAACTGGAAGTGGTGTTGTGGCTCAAGCAGTAGAGTGCTAACCTTGAGCAGAAAAGCTCAGGGGCAGTACTCAGGCCTTGAGTCCAAGCCCTACAGCAGACCACCACCACTACCAACAACAAAGAAACACTGTTTGGTTCTTTCCTGGCAGGTTGGATGCTGGTCCTGGGGAATGAGAGAGGGAAGAGGAAAGCTTACATGGTTGCTGTTGGAATGACTCTTTGCAGCCTCAGTGGAAGAGCCGAGGGTTAATGATGGACTGGGGAAGCTGACTTCAGAGGCAGCGAGGGGAAGGCATGCTCCCGTCTGGACCATGGCTGTTGTTGGTGAGGGGTAGGAGGGGCCCAAGGCAGGGTTTATCTCATCCCATCCCTCCCTGCACCTCATCAAAGCAAGGATCTCCTGTCCCAGAACTCTGTAACCTCCAGACCCTGAGAACATCCCCTCAATCCTAGCCTGAAGACTGCTGTGGCTAGAGATCCAGGGCCAATGCCGTCACTTGCTTACTGTGTGACCTTGGGTGGAGTCACGCCTCCCCCATCACCTGAGAGCCTGGCTTCTGGCACAGATATGTGTTTCCAGATGGGTAGGATAAGTGAGAAGAAAGCATTGGAATATGATAAACTCCTTGGAAGAAATCCTCAAGTGTCTCCCCCGCTTTTTTTAACATGCTCTATTTTTAAAATTAAAATTTAATCTTTATTTGTTTTGGTTTTAAAGTTTTTATTTTGAAAAATAGTAGAATTTTAATTATTAAGTAGTTGTACAAAGCACTTTTGGTTTTTGAGACAAGGTCTTGTCATGTATCCCAGGCTGGCTCTGAAGTCCTGTCTCAGCCTTCAGAGTGCTGGAATTATAATCACAAACTACCATGCCCATGTTTCCTATGTGTTTTAGAAGGAACTCAAAGATCAGTTATCTCTTGGTATATAAAGGAGATTGGTTTTTCAGATGTTCAAATCTCTTATATAGAAAATAATATTCACATATAAATGCACATAACTCCTGTATACTTCCCTGTATTTTTTCAGTCATCTTTAGGTTGCTTAAACTAACTAATACAATGTAGAGGGCATGGAAATAGCTGTTGTACTATATTGTTTTAGGAATAACAAAGAAAAAACTCTATATTTGTTCAGGACAGATAGAAGTTATTTCCCCCCTCTGTGTGAATATTTTCCATTAATTATTGTGAAAGCAGCACCCACAGATATGGAAACGTGAAAGATCTGGAAGGGGGTAGGGTTTTCTGTAGTCTCCGAATGAGCCCCCATTTCTCCTAGTCCCAGTTTCTTCCTCTGCCTTCCAGAGTGTGGTGTGAAGTGGGTAACAATCCTCTGGTGGGTGGGGGGCGCTGTGGCTTTAGGCTGGGATAAGATTGTAGGTAGATGGGTGGCTACAAGATTGTGCTGAGGGCTGGGAAGGTGGCTCAGTGGTAGAGCACTTGCCTTGCATGCTCGAGGCCCTGGGTTCGATTCCTCTGCACCACATAAGCAAAAAGAAAAAAAGCCAGAAGTGGCACTGTGGCTCAAGTGGTAGAGCGCTAGCCTTGAGCTGAAGAGCTGAGGGACAGTGCCCAGGCCCAGAGTTCAGCCTCCACGACCGGACCCAGAAAAAAAAAAAAGATTGTGCTGAATTATTTACTATAGCTAAGGTATGCAATCAACCCATATACCCCTCAGTGGACAAAGGGATCAAGAAAAGATGGTATCATACACAATGGACTTCCATGCTTCCATCAGAAAAAATGGCATTGCTGCATTCATAAGGAAATGGAAAGCCATATTAAGCAAAGTAAGCGGACCCAAAGAAACATAAGCTGTATGGTTTCCCTCATTTATAATAACCAGAACATGTCTATAAATCTGCAAGTTAATCCAATGGATAGTAAAAGACAAATACACTTGGCCATGATTAATTAAACAGCACTCTAAGCATTTGCACAGTGAGAACAAAGGAGGATATTCTTAGGAGAGGATCATAGTGGCTCAATAGCTATGTGCATATGACCATATCAAACGATGCTTATTGAAATGAATTCCAAAAAATGGAAATAAGAGGCTTTTTTATTGCACTCTTTGCAGTTATTTCTTTGTCCCTCTTTTTGTTTCCTTTGGCTTATTCCCTGTTGTCACTGTTTTTGATTTCTGTACCCTTTGTCTTATATATCAGCCTGACTTGGGGGAATGGAATGGGAATCAGAGAAATGGTAGAATAAAAGGGTGAACCAATTCAACAGTGACGCTCACTAGACACTATGTTGGAAATGAACTTTACAACTTGGGGAAGGAAGGGTGTGTGTGTGTGTGGAAGCCGGAAAAAATGAAGGAGGAGGTAAGACTGTTCAAAAAGAAATGTACTCATTACCTAACTTACATAAAACAAATGAAATAAAACAAATTAAAAAAGATAGAAAAAAAGAGATCATGCTGAATTTCGTTTCTGCATCAGAGATCAAGAACATGGGCCGTTTACTCCTTTTAGAGGTCCTGGAACTTGGTCCCAAGACAGATGACAAGTGACTGACAACTGTCTGGGCCCCTGGGGGGGCCTCTCTTTAAAGGGCTATTCCCTCTCTGCCCCAGGTGGGAGCCTTTGACAGGGCTTTGGGAGCACAGCGGGGCCTTTGTGCCAGGTCGGCACCACCCCCTGGCAGGCCCCTCCCCGCTGGCAGGCTCAGCCTTTACCTGCCCGGCCCCTGCCACCTCTCACCACTCCGCCTGGCTGCCGGTAGCTCTGCCTGGCTCCTCATTCTGCTCCTGAAGCAGCAGCTGCAGCGCAGCCTTGCAGCGCTTACCTGTTGTCCTGGAGTTCCCTCCTTCTTTTCCCCCGGGCTGGGGGGCTTATCATTAGCCCCACCTGTTGTCCTGGGGTCCCCTCCTACCCTTCCCCCCCGGGGAGGCTGTATAAGGAGCTTGTTTGTCGGGGTGGACGGACCGGGAGGGACCTATCTCCACCATCTCCGCCATGGACAGCAGCACCTGGAGCCCCACGGCCACCCCTGCACCTATCCCGACCCACGAGCGCATCCGCAATGCCGCCGACATCTCTGTGATCGTCATCTACTTCTTGGTGGTGATGGCTGTGGGAATATGGGTATGTGCGGCGTGAGGGTCCCCGGGTGGGATGAGGGGAGGGGGGCAGCCGGGAGAAGCTGTGGCCTGGCTGAGCTGTAAGGCATTAATGGCTTGTGCAGAGAGGGGGTGTGGGAATGCTTTGGGAAAGGGGAGAGGAGGCTAAGGGTATAGGGTGAAGGAATGGTTGTTGTTGTTGCTATTATTATTATTTGTGGGGTTTCAACCCAGGGCCTGGACACTTGCTGTCCTTGAGCTTTTTTTTTTGGCTCAAGGCTAGAGCTCTACCACTTTGAGTTAATTGGAGATAAGAATCTTCTGGACATTCCTGCCTAGGCTGGCTTTGAACCGGATCCTCAGATCTCAGCCTCCTGAATAGCTAGGATTACAGGCATGAGCCACCAGCACTGGGCCAGAAGTGTTATTATTTTTGGAGGGGGACAAGCAAAGGTGAACAGAAGATTTAAGGGTGCTGAGGGGAGCCTGCCAGGAAGGCCCCAGGAGATCTGGAGAGCAGGAGGGGGCTGACCGGCAGGCAGAAGATTGCATGCAAGGGGAGAAAAAGGAAGGGCTGGGGGCAGATTTGAGCTGCAGGGGTGGTCCCTTTGGGAGCCCTCATAGAAAGCCCATTTCCCATGGGAGAGAAGGAGCTCTGGAGCCACAAAGTCCCAGCCTCAGCCAGTTTATGGAGAATGCGGATCACGCATCCAGCTACTGCTGAAGGCTGACCCATCCACTGGAGTTAAAAGATGGGGAAACTGGGTGGAGTATTAGGAGAAGGAAGACTTGAGGATGGCCAGGTGCTGGGAAGGGTGGGGAAGGAAAGAGGGGGGAGGGCAGAGAGGAGAGGAGAGGAAAATGTCTATGTCTTCCTTGAGACTTGGGACATAACAAACCTGAGAAACTTGTTCTCAGTTACTGGGGACTTGGAACGCTCATTAATGACAGATAGTGGCACACCCAACCACTAGAAAACAGGTGTGAATATTCCAGGGGTTGTCCTGAAGGGGAGAATGGCAGGCAGACAGGTTGCTGGCACAGCCGGCTGGTGCATTGAACTCTACGCTTAGAGCAGAGGATGGTGGACTTTAACCCTTCCATGGCCTGGAGCTTGTTTTCAAGGATAAAATGATGTGGAAGTATTGAAGTATTTCACCAATTCCATCAGTATTCTCAGCTTTCCTGACACGGAGGAAAATGTCCATCTAGGAACAAGACTACTTTCCTTCTCTCTCCCTCCCTCTTTTTTGTGCTCTCTCTCTCTCTCTCTCTTTCTGGTCTTGAGCTCAAGGCCTGGGTACTTACTGTCTCTGAGATTTGTGCTCAAGGCTGGTACTCTGCCACTTGAGCCACAGTTCTACTTCTGGCCTTTTGCTGGTTCATGGGAGATAAGAGTCTCACAAACTTTCCTGCCTGGGCTGGCTTTGAACTGTGATCCTTAGAGCTCAGCCTTTTGACTAGCTGGGATTACAGGTGTGAGCTAACATGGCCGCTGGCAAGACAACTTACATTTAATAACAGCTTTCACATAGTTTAAACCAAGAGATGTAGAGTCACTTTCTGCAGCCTCAGTTTACCCAATTGTGAATTAGGTTGGGCACCATCACTTCTATTCTTAGGACTTGCCAAGGATGTTATGAGAATTTTCAGAGATGGATTAAACAAGTCTTTTGTGAACTCTAGGAATGAAAACTCACAAACAAACAAGCAGCAGCAGCAACAACAACAAAAACTATTGCTGCCTGGTTCTGGGGGCTCAGGTCTGTCTTCAGTCTTAGCTACTTAGGAGGCTGAGATCTGAAGATCACAGTTTAAAGCTATCCTGAACAGAAAAGTCTGAGACTCTTATCTCCAATTAAACAGCAAAAGTTGATGTGGCTAAAGTGTTAGACTGCCTACCTTGAGAAAAAAATAAAGCAAGAATGTGGGGCCCTGAGTTCAAGTCCCAGTACTGACACAAAAATACAAAACAATGAACAGGTATGATATAGAGTCTGAATAATTGTCATTTTAAGTAAAATGGGCAAAAGCAATAAGCAGTCAGCATCTTCACACAATGCCACAAGACAGGGAAGACAGGAATGCAAGTCTCTATTTAATAGATGAAAAAATTAAACCCCTGAGTGGTTGGGATTTGCTTTAGATTTTGCAATAGATATCCTGGTACTAGAGTCCAGGGAATTTGACCCCCGGTTTTCTTTCTTTTTCTTTTATTTTGTCAGTTGTGGGGCTTGAACTCAGGGCCTGGGCACTCTTCCTGAGCTCGTTTGATGAAGGCTAGCGCTCTACCACTTTGAGCCACAGCTTCACTTTCAGTTTTTAAGTGTTAATTGGAGATAATCCCACGGGAACTTTTCTGCCTGGGTTAGCTTTGAATGGTGATCCCTAGATCTCAGTCTCCTGAGTAGCTAGGATTACAGGCATGAGCCACCAGCAACTGGCAACAGTCATCCTTTTTGCCTTTTTTGGGGGTTGTGTGGTTTTGAACTAAGGGCCTTGTGCTTTCACTTGGCTTTTTACTCAAGGTTGGTGCTCTACTACTTGAGCTCTACTTCTGGATTTTTGCTGGCTAATTGGAGATAAGAGTCTCTCACATTTGTCTGCCCAGGCTGGCTTCAAACTGCAATCCTCAGATCTCAGCCTCCTGAGTAGCTAGGATTACAGGTGTGTACTACTAGCTGCCGCCGCCGCCTCCTCCTCTTCTTCCTCTTCTTCTTCTTCTTCCTCCTCCTCTTCATCTTCTTCTCCTTCTTCTCCTCCTCTTCTTTCTTTCTCTCTCTCTTTCTTTGGAAAGCATTCTCTTTTGCTTTTTTCCTACCCCTGCCTTCAAGTTACTGTTTAAGTCATGTCAGATTCCTTCTTTCCTTACCTATCTTCATAAAGATGGAGGCTTGAAGTTTTATTGACTTTAACTCTCTTCATCCTGCACTTACACTTATTTATTTTTATATTTTTAAAATTTAGCATCAATTAGTTTTATTAATTAATTTCATTTTGGTATGTCTATATATATGCACAATGAACCTTGACCAGGCTCAACTCTTTCTGTCACTGCCTTTCTCCTCCCTTCCACATTCCCTAAATCAAACATCTCTTTTGTGAACCATGTGACAAAGTCATTTTACTCAGTTATGAACAGACTTCACATGAGTATATCTAGCAGAAATTTTCTTCAGTGGCACAATTCCCATTTTCAGGCGGCAGTGACTGACAGGAAGTCCTTCCTAGCACTCAACTCAGACCTGACCTTTATTTTTTATTTTATTTTATTTTTTTGGGTCCTGTCGTGGGCCTGAACTCTGGGCCTGGGTACTGTCCCTCAGCTCTTCAGCTCAAGGCTAGCGCTCTACCACTTGAGCCACAGTGCCACTTCCGGCCTTTTTTTTCTGCTTATGTGGTGCTGAGGAATCGAACCCAGGGCCTTGAGCGTGCAAGGCAAGCGCTCTACCACTGAGCTACCTTCCCAGCCCATGACCTTTATTGTTATTCATTCATTCATTCGTTCATTCATTCATTCATGCTGGTCCTGGACCTTGAACTATGAGCCTGGGTGCTACCCCTAAGCTCCTTTTGCTCAAGGCTAGCCCTCTACCACTTCGGCTACAACAGCACTACTGCTAGCTTTTTCTGTGATTCATTGGAGATACGAGTCTCACAGACTTTCCTTCCCAGGCTGGCTTTGAATGGTGATCATCTGATCTCAGCCTCTAGCTAGATTACAGATGTGAGCCTCTGGTACCTGGCTCTCTCACTTTATATATTGGAAGAAAACAGCTATACGCAAGTCTTCTTCAGGCGCAATTTCTTTATTTTCTTCACTGGTTCTTCATTTAAACAGAAGTTTGAGATTTCTTCCTTTAGCTCCATGATTTTGTTATTTCACTGAGGAAAAAAAATAACCTCCAAAAACATCGTGAGTCAATAGTTCTGCAAAAGAAGAGCACAGGAAGCCTTTACTCTTTGCGATTGTGATTTCCTTCTCACCCAGCTCAAGGGTGGATAAGTGAATCTCCTGTCTTGATTTACAGAGGGAGATTTGGAATCTCCTTTGTACCACTCTTGATCATGAGACAACATCTTTCTGGGTGCATTTACTGGGTCTTTTTTTTGTTGTTATTGTCAGTCGTGGGGCTTGAACTCTGGGCTTGGGTGCTAACCTTGTACTCTTCAGCTCAAGGTGAGCACTCTACCGCTTGAGCCACAGCATCACTTCCGGTTTTCTAGTGGTTAATTGGAGATATGAGTCTCATGGACTTTTCTGCCTGGCTGGCTTTGAACCATGATCCTCAGATCTCAGCCTCCTGAGTAGCTAGGATTACAAGCATGAGCCACCGGCACCCAGCATTTTCTGGGTCTTATTAGAGATTAAAAATATAGTAATATGGTTACACAAAGTAAAACAACAACAATAAAGAACTAAAGGCTTTGAAGGTAGAAATGGAGTTCTCAGGGTGTTCAGAGGAGGGAGGTTATTTGTGCTTGGAGGACACAGAGGAGATTTCCCTGGGAGAATTCAGGTAACTGTTCACAAGGAAGGTGGCATTTCAGGGTAGGGAGGACCTGGACTTGGAGAGATGATAAGATGATCATTCTACAGAATCCTCACATCTCCTTACTTTTGTCCAGCTCTAAGACTTTTTTTTTTGGATCAATTGTGAGGCTTGAACTTAGAGCCTGGATTCTGTCCTGGAACTTTCCTAGCACTCTACCATTTTGAGCCACAGTACCACTTCTGGTTTTCGGATGGTTAATTGGAGAGAAGAGTCTAATGGACTTTCCTAACCAAGCTGGCTTCAAACCTTGACTCCTCAGATCTCAGCCTCCTGAGTACCTAGGTTATAGACATGAGCCACCAGCACCTGACCCTAAGCTCTTTCCTGAATTATTCCAGCTTCACACTCTAAACTCTGTTCTCACATCTTTTTCCAAGTTTTACATTACCAAGACCAGCTGAGAAATATTTGCATATGGGTCCCAAGCCCACTTTTTCCGTCTTTCCAACCATGACTGGTATTAATCAACCTTCTTGGACTTTAGACCTTTCCCCTGCCAACTGCTGGAGGGTGAGTTTTTAAGGTTTATTTCTGTTTCTTCTCTAGATGCCTTTTCTACTTCTTAGATATTTTGTTCATCTTGCTATTCCCAGGAAAACTACTACAAGCTTTCAGAATATACACTGAGGAAGGGACAACCCTGCCAGATGTTGAGAAAGTCTTGAGACATGCTCTTCCTGCTTTCTAGGATGCAGTGGTACCCAGAATATCTGTTGACTGATTGCATGTAGAAAGCTCCTGCTTTGTGTCCTTCAATCTGAACTCTAGCAGATCTGCCACCTGTTGCAGGCATGTTTGCTGTGTTTATAATTGCCTGAAATGTCACCATCAGAGGTGAATTCCTTTGGATCAGTGATGTTCTTTAGCTTCTGTGATCCCTTTGGAAGATACAAACACAACTGATACAGTCAAATTACCAATCCATGATTTTCATGAGCCTTCTTGAATGCCTGCTATTGACCGGTGTAGTCAATTGCTAAAGATTAGCTAGCATCAAAAAGAGAGGAAGGGTGAAGAAGGCTAGAGACCTAAGGTAGAGGCACTGCCCCTATTTTGTTCTGGAACACTAGGTCTGGGCCTGAGTATGACTTGGATCAGGAATAAACCACAGGCTGATAGACAACAATTCCATGACAGGCAAAACTACCATGAGAAGTTTTGGTCATCATGTATTAATGATATAAGCCATTTTTTTCTTACTTCCAAATTTCAGTGGCTCCCTGTGGCATGTGAAAAAATCCTTCCTTTGCTTCCCCCCCCTCCTTCCCTCCCTCCCTCCTTTCTTCCTTCCTTCCTTTCTTCCTTCCTTCCTTCCTTCCTTCCTTCCTCTCTCTCTCTCTCTTTCTTTCTTTCTCGTAGCATTAGAGATCCTATGTGTAGTGTCACTTCTCTGCCTCTCCTCCACTCTTGTGTGACAGCCAGTTCCAGCGGCTGACATTCTGCCAACACTCTTATACTAGTTACAATCAGTTGCAGAGTAAGGATTCCTGAAAGTTCCTACCATCTCTCAGGGTAAAAGCTTTGAATTGGGTTTGAATGTCTGGTCCTCTAGGTTATATTTATATGAGCCCTTTGCATTCTTATGGCATTTTTCACTTTTTTTTTTGTACTGGGGTTTGAACTCAGGGCTTTTGTGCTGTCCCTTATCCTTTTCTTCTCAAGGCTAGTGCTCACTATAACTTAAGCTACAGCTCCTCTTACAGATTTTTGCTGGCTAATTGGAGATAAGAGTCTCACCAATTTTTCCTGCCTGGGCTAGCTTTAACCTCAATCTTCAGAGCTTGGCCTCTTAAGTAGCTAGGATTACAGGCATGAGAAAAATAGCACTTGGCCATTTTCATGTTTTTGATGTCAGCTTTGTAGAGACATAATTAATATACCAAATAGTATTTTTTTGAGGTGGTGGTACTGGATATTGAACCCAGGGCCTCATCTATGGTAGGCAAATAATCATTTGAGCTATGCTACCAGCCTCTGTTTTGTTCTTTTGCTGCTTAGCTAGACTTTTGCTCATGTACCTGGGATTGGCTTCAGATTCTCAAACCTCCTGGCTCTGCCTTTCAGTAGCTGGGATTACAGGTGATACATACCACCACATGCAGCCCCATCTAGTACTTTTTAAAAGGGTGATAGTTTATTAGGTACTTTGATATGCTTGTAAGAATGCATATAAAAATATTTTATCCCTTGTTTCACACATGAGCAAATAGATCTAGGTGGAGTGATTGGCTTGAAGCCCCATGGTAAGCTAATTGCAGTGCTAGCTGTCCAGCAAATTGTTCAAGACTTTTGAATCTCAGTTTCCTTGTAGGCCCCTGCCTCTTAGAGCTGACTGTGGTTGAGTCTCCAGAAAAATGAGGAATGTGCAAATGTTTCAGAAAACAGAGTGGGTTACAGGAAGTACCAGCGTGTGGGGAGGTATGTCCTTTTGCAGGACAAGGTCACTCTTCTGGTTTTCTATTAAAATTTTGATTCTTTCTTCCTCAGGCTATGGTTTCTTCTAACCGAGGAACTGTTGGAGGTTTCTTCTTGGCAGGCCGCAGTATGGTTTGGTGGCCGGTAAGTTTTTTTTTTTTTTTTCCCCTGAGATGTTTGACTATAAGACTTCCTTTACAGACCCATTTTCTTGTTGGCATTGGGTGATGGTTATTCTTTCTTCTCATCTGGACACTTGATAATGGGTCTTCTGCTCAGCAGATCTCTAGTACATCCTTAATTTCTTTTTTTCTTTTAGTACTTTAAATATACTCTTCTTGAGGTAAAGATTTTTTTGTTTTGCTTTATTTAACCTATTTTACTTGGCATAATTTCTGACATGTAACTAGAGACATTTTATTAAAAATGAATAAAACACTTAAAAATAAGATAAATCATTTGAAAATTTCTAAACTCTTAGAAAATGAAAAATATAGTTTTGAATAACCCATGACTTGGAGAGTAAATTTCTTTTCTTCCTTTCATTTGCCAATCCTGATGCTTGAACTCAGGGCCTGGGCACTGTCCTTGAGCTTCTTTTGCTCAAGGCTAGCACTCTACCACTTGAGCCACAGCACCACTTCCAGCTTTTTCTGTGTATGTGGTACTGAGGAATTGAACCCAGGGCTTCATGCATGCTAGG